AAATTTTAAATATTCTGATTATCTGGACATATCACCAAAGAATATCTCATAGAGTGACATTGCAGAAAAAAAATAGGAGTTAATACTACCCTATTTTTCAAAATTCTGAATTTCCTCTAAAATTTCTTTACTCAATTTTCTTTGAGTATTAACATGATTATTTTTATTTTTGTCACTGACTCTCTTCCCTGCAATAAAAGTATACATAACAATAGAAACCACATTCGGTAAAGAATTTGCTCTTCTGATGTTATTTAACATTCTCTGATGCTTTCTTAAATTGCCTACACTAACCAAAATGGTAGTGCCTCAGCTGAGTATAGAGTTTTCTATATTCTAGATCAATACTGTTTAATAGAACTTTTGGTGATAATGGAAATGTTCTATATTTGCTCTGTACAATACAACACAATACAGTATCCACCTGTAGCTTTTGAGTACTTTAAATGTGGCCAGTGAATCAAAGGAACTAAACTTTTAATTTTGTTCAATTTAATTCATTTCAATTTGAATTTTCAATAGCTACATGTGGCTAATGGATAATATACTGGATAGCACAGGTCTAGGTGCCAGTTTTCATTTAGTAAATGCATATTCCTATTCCTCTACAATATCCACTATTTATTTTGCAGATATTGAAGCTTCTTTTCACCTACAATGGAGACATGGGTCTGATTGCAATGAATGGGAACACACCACTTCACTATGCTGCCATGGGCGGTTTTGCAGATTGCTGTAAATATATAGCTCAGCGAGGTAAAATTGTCTAGCTGCTTTGTGCTTAAAGTATTTATGATTTGCCTGTGTCACAGATAAGGAGAGAATTTGAGCCTGTCACTTGTCAGTTGCTTATTGTTTCCAATAGTCAAACCTCACTCATATGTAGAAAGAAAATTGAAAATTTTTTCTTGCACTGCCTTCTATTAAATGATGAATCTGGGCTTAAAAGTGATGAAAATCTGTTTCTCCAAATTTTTTAGGTTATTGTTAAAAATCTAAAGGGGATTGTTCATGAGTCAACTAATTATTAAAATGCTTATAGTTGATTAAATTCCTTATTTAAAAAAATGCCAACATCAACCCTAAAAAAGGACAAACACTGAAAACCATTTACTTTATTTTGCATTTTTAATTATTTATTTTTTAAAAATACTCAAGTACAAAGGTAACTTTTTTGGATAATTTGCAATTATTGGGGGAAATATATTGGGGAGAAACATGAAATACAATGAAAACTTCCATGGAAAATTTGAAATATAAGCAATATTTATTATTTTAGATTTTATTATAGCTTTTAATAACTATTAACTTAGAAATATAAACTGTATTATGTATAGCTTAACGAGTTCCTTAAAATGAAAATATTAGCTAATTAAGTTTAAAGATAGAGATCAATTTGTTATTAATTACATGCTAATTAAAAGCACATTAAAAGTTTTGTAACTCTTTGTTAGAGATGGAACTGCATTTTGCTAAACTTTATATGTTTTTTCCAGCTTATGAGAAATAGGCGAAAACTTGAAGTCCAACAACTCTATAATAGAGCAGAGAAAGTGTTTTGTTTTTCTGTCTTCCACACAGGCACAAAATTTTAGAAGTCACTAAAACCCAAGGATCTCACACTATAACCATTAATATTATAATAAGGCTAACATGCCCGCATAACAAATAGTGTAATAACCGATCCATTTTTAGTTTTATAAATTTATACTTTTCTCATCCCCCAAATATAATAAATCCTTTTAACAAATGAGGAAAGAAAAATATATCAAATTCAAATTTAATTTTTGCTTTCTCAAACGGTCTTATTGGTCTTGTTTTCTAGTGTGTCACTAGCAGCAGTTTATTCTAGTATTTCAATTTTAACATTATGCATTTCTAAAAACTAAAGATCTGCCCAAGTTCAGACAAGCTTCTTCAACTTTAACATGTTTACATATCTTATTGGGACAAATGTTACCATGCATATACTCTATCATTTATGTGTTACTGGGATAAAATCACAGAAAGCACTTTGAGAAACAAAGGGCCAGAGTTGAGTCATACAAAAAGCCCTTGCCAATGATGCAGAAAAAAATCCATTTTCCTGGAAGAATCATAAGACTGTATTTCTGAAGCAAATGTCTGAAAATGTACTGAGCTCTGTAGCATGTTAGGAACGGCAACCACGTCACCAGATCCTAAGTGGATGACCCAGTTTCACAGCAGAAGTGTTATCAGTTACATTTTCACCTTTAGAATCTTAGATCTAAGGCAATCAGAGCAGCAAGAAACCATTAGCAATGAAATGCTCGTTTCTGAATAACTCCCTGGGTTTAGTCTCTTCGTATGTCAGTGTAAGGCATTTGTGCTGGCTAGATTCTTTTCCCACATTTCCTCCCAACGCTTCTTTTGGCCCCTGGTCCTACAACTCCCTGTGAGCAGTGTGGGAGACACATCCAAGGACAGAGAGGGGAGTCACCTTTGGCTCTCTGAGTTCTGCAGCACCAGCCGGCTGAAAGTTGAGCATCATTACCAGGAGAAACATCAATCACAAAGAGAATGCATGGATCTTTACTTACTAATCGTAAAGGAGGAGACAAAGAGTCCCAAGTCAAAAGGAGAGGAAAATTGCCTTTAGATCTTTAAGCTGGGATGTTGGAGTCTTTTATCCACATAAAAGTTTCTAACTAGGAGGAAACTGGAAGCAGCAGAGGGTGAGCTGGAGCAGGTTTAAAATCCTTTGATCCTTAGAGCTGGGTGAACATAGGATTGGCTTGAGAGGTGGTAGATAAAACTCCCAGACTCCCTGAGTAAGCAAAATAGCTAAGTAAAAACAGTGCACTAGGAATTAGTATGGAATTGCACCATGGAATTACTATGCTATGGAATAATATTGCAGCGACCACTGGCAGGATTCCCATCCCAATAAATTCCTGTTCCTTAAACTGTCCAATGTAGAAATTTTAGAATCTTTATTATCCCAATATGCTTTTTGAATTTTTTAATCACTAGTAAAACTATCAGCTTTAGTTTTAAAATTCAATTTTGACAAACCAAAGAAAGTATTAATCTCAAAAAAAAAATAGTCTGACTTCTTCATAATCTGACTTATTTATACATATCATGAATTTTTAATGTCTCAAGACACCTATTACAGACAACACAGCCTTTTTGGTAGCACTAAATGGATTTCCTGATGCGTTCAGAAAGTTTATTTCTTTGTTGAGTATTTACAAATAACGTTGGTCTCGTCATTTTGTTAAGTAAGTGACCAAAAAGGAAAATGGATTTTAATGTTTAACTTGTACACAGATATAATACTGGAATTTTCAGATTTGGTTCACAAATTACTTTTTTCTCTGTGAAGGTTTTCCGTGTGACCTTACCACAAAAACAGCAGATTAGTATAAATTACATTAATTTAATGGAGAATACAAATAAAATATAGTTTTAGGTTGTACACAGATTTATAATCTAAATCATTTGAAAAGAAGCAGGTATTCTGAGTTTATAAGGTCCCAGGTAAAAAGTTTGAATACAGGTTCTTTCCAAATTCAAGTGTATTCTTGCTCTCTCCCTATGGGCATGAAGTCTCCTTAACAAGTAAACCAATATGGTATGTGTTTCAAATATCTATAATTTATCTGAATAAATCTTATTTATTAATCTATATTTATAAGTAGATTAAAATTTATAAATGTCCTAATCCTGTTGTAAATTGTAAACTTATCTCCCACAGAATTCACTGAAGTGAAGCTCACAGAAAAAAAAAAATCCCAGCTTAATTTTGTAATTATAATAACCAAATATACTCATCTCTATAAACATATAAGTTTGGGATGCACTATTTTTTTATTTCAGCATATTACAGGGGTACAAATGTTTAGGTTATGTATATTGCCCTTGCCCCACCCGAGTCAGACCTTCAAGCGTGTCCATCCCCTAGTCTGTGCACACCACATCCATTACGTGTGTATATACCTATCCCCTCCTACCCCCTCCCATCTGCCCGACACCCGATGAATGTTATTACTACATGCGCACTTAAGTGTTGATCAGTTAAAACCAATTTGATGATGAGTACGTGTGCTTGTTTTTCCATTCTTGGGATACTTCACTGAGTAGAATTAGCTCCAGCTCTATCCAGGATAATACAAGAGGTGATATATCACCATTGTTTTTTATGGCTGAATAGAACTCCATGGTATGCATATACCACATTTTATTAATCCACTCATGTATGAATGGGCACTTGGGTTGTTTCCATATCTTTGCTATTGTGAATTGTGCTGCTATAAACATTCGAGTGCAGATGTCATTTTTATAGAATGTCTTTTGTTCTTTTGGGTAGATGCCCAGTAATGGGATTGCTGGATCAAATGGTAGTTCTACTTGTATCTCTTTGAGATATTTCCATATTGCTTTCCACAGAGGTTGTACTAGTTGGGATGCACTTTTGATTAATCATTTGAAATTAAGAAAACAGTTGGATGAATGTCATTTGTACGGCCATGCCAATGCCTTTGCACCATTCCTAATAATGATGCTTCATGTTTTAGGATGTGACCTGAAATGGAAGAATTTAGAGCATAAAACGCCCAGGGCTGTGGCAAAGGACAGCGGCTTCAAAGCAGCAAGCAAAGAAATACTCCGAGCAGAGAGAATCGCCACTAAACTGGCCAAGCCAGGAGTTAAAAATCCCAATCCGCTCTGGGCCCTTAGACTACATGACTGGTCTGTAGAACATGAGACTTCCCTCCGCGAAACCTTTGCGCTTGTGGACAGGGGCGATGGAACTGTCACCAAGGAGGACTTTGTGATGACGCTGGAGGAGAGACAAGATTTTGCAAGCTCGGAAAATCTGATGGCCTTAGCTCAACTTCATGAAAAAACCCGGGGATCAGGGGTCAACGTGAATGATTTCTTTAAAGGAACCAAATACTTATCCAAGTCTTTTGTATTGGGATCTTATGGGCCTAAGAGAAAGGGAAAAGGGATGGGCAAAAAGGGAAGGAAAGGCAAGTTTGTTTTACCACTCCCGATCTGTGTCATTCCTGAGCAGGCGTTTCCACGCCGGGAAGACGGTGGGCCTCCCTATTACATGATAGAAACCTATCAGAATGTCACTGACAGCAGTCGGTTTAATCGAGATCATCCACCAGAACATCCCATTCAGGATGACTCTGCCTGGTACATTGATGATCCGGGGAAGGTATTTGCAAATATTAATTTCATCACCAAGGCAGGCGACCTGGCTTCTCTGAAAAAGGCATTCGAATCAGGAATACCTGTCGATATGAAGGATAATTACTACAAAACACCACTAATGATGGCGTGTGCAAGTGGAAACATAGATGTGGTCAAGTTTCTTCTTGAAAAAGGGTATGTGCTTTGGTTGCGTGAGGTTTAAATTTTCATGAGACTTCATATTTCGAGGAAGGGAAAAGAAGCCTTTGAAGAAACATTCAGGTCCAGCCAGAGTTTTAGTAGCACAGGAAAGTTCTCGATCACTGACATCTACAATAAATAGATCTTATAGGGGAAACGAAGCTAATGGGAACACAGGATTGAGTGTGCACAAAGATGGTTTGCCAATAACAATTACGCAGACAGTGAAGGCCAATAAGTTTTCACTCTTGGGGTAGAAAGAGTCTTCTGATTGGGTATCACTGGCCTCCTGTCGGTGACAGGACAATTCAGTTTGATCTCAGAGCTTTACCTAGATGGTATGGAGTCACTTTTTAATCCACCTCTTTTTTTGTGGTGATCTCAACAACTTCAAACAAGTGGAATGGTGGCCATAATTACTAAGGACATGTTTTGCTCCCTCTAAAACCCAATATCCTCCTCCCAAGAGGGCAGCCTTTTCCTTGGTTCACTTATAAATATCTTTAAAATATCAAAACATGGCATTTTTATGTAACTTTTTAAACTATAACAATCTCTCAGGTTTAATTCCTTATTCTTCCATACCTGTATAATCTGAGTAAGTTTCTTAATATTTTTGTGCCTCAGTTTTCTCATTTATATAATGGGGCTCTAATGGGACTTATCTCACAGAATTTTTTGAAGATTAAACAAGTTAAAATATGTAAAGCACTTAGTGCAGTAATTGCACACTTCAGAAAAGATGTTAATGTTATTATTTCTATAGTGTTTAATGTCAAAGGAAGACTCAAATTTGTATATTATCAAGAGGAGTATAAAGCAACTAATGAGAATTTGAACTTTTGGACAGTGAGTTTCCAAAAAGGACTAAAATTTCAAATAATGCATTATAATGCTTAGAATTTATAATGAAGGTTCATTTAAAAATAAATAACATACAGAGAAAGTAGACACAAAATGGAACAATATAACTTTAATATTTCTTGTCGGCTTTTACCTTCACTGGATCTAGTTTTATAATTTTCTTTGATTTTAACCTTGCAAAATCATAATCCCTAAGACGCCTTTTAAAACCAAACAAAATAAATAAACGAGGTCTGTATGTAAAGTATCCAGCCATTGTTAGTATAATGAGAACATATTACATGGCTGGAAACTTTCTGGACAGGCCTGTATACATAAAGTTACAACTGTCAAATAATGCAGAAGAAAAAGATTTGAAGAAAAATTTAAAGACATTTTAAAGAAGGCAGCATTTAATTTAACTCAGAGCTCCCCTGGGTTACAATTTAACAACTTGATAAAACTGTATAAATTTTACTTTGCAATTTTAGCTTCCCATGCTTGAAACAACCAGTATTTTTAGTTTGTGCATCTGTTTTATTTTACAGGGCTAACGTTAATGCAACAGATAATTTTCTGTGGACTCCACTTCATTATGCATGCCATGCAGGTCAACAAGATATTGTTGAGCTTCTTGTTAAATCTGGAGCTTTAATTGATGCAGTTTCAATCAACAACTCAACTCCTTTAAGTAGAGCCATTGAAAGCTGTAGGCCGGATACTGTAAAATACCTACTTGATATTGGTGCTAAATTCCAGCTGGAAAATAGAAAAGGTATGTATTGATATTACTGATGGTTAGGGTTAGAAAGGAAGAATTTATGTTATGGTCTATACCCCTTCTGATGCTATTCTTATAGTACCACATTTTCCCCTGGGTGACAGGTGCAAACCTAAGCCTGAGTTAAATGTTATGGAAGTTTATCTTATACCCAGTGCTTCTCAAATCATTGGTGTTGAAGGGCCAGTGCTTTATTAGTATGTTTGCTATCTGTCACGGACTGAGATTCTTTGGTAAAATACAATAAAAATGATTTACTACAAAAAAATGAAACTAAAAAAAAAAAAAAACTCCAAAATGCAAGGCCAAACTTTTTTTCAATCATTAGCATCAAATGACAGAAAATTTTTCGATTAAGTTGCTATAAAATTTCTAAACACTTACTTTCTGTAGTTACTTGCTTGTGGATCAGTAATCTTTAGTATGTAGACTTGTACCAGTTTGCAGATCACACCTTGAGTTATCACACTGTTATAACTGATAATTCCTAATAATTGGCATACTCCACAGACTTTATAGATTTTGGATTCCCCTTAAAGCAGGATAAAGTAATTCTTGAATTGAGGCTTCCTTGACTCTAGGAAGTAAACATCTGGCCTACTTTATGTCATAAATACCATGCATGAAGGAAAAAAATCATTTGAATAAATATTTGAGCTCCCTTATTTGGAGGTATCATTTTCCTGTAGTGGAACCCATTGCTTCCTTTGGCTCTGAGTGAGCGTTAATACCTCTGGCTGGGTCAAGACTGCCTCTGAGTCCCAGGTAGTATTGTACCAGTCCTGTCCGATGCTATTACAGGTAACGTGATACCCAGCCTTCTGCCTAGAGCACTTGTGACCATCAGCTTCCCCAGCCCTTTTAGAATTTACCCACTTACATAATGGAAACAGGAGAATAATGTAAAATTATCACACAAAAGGAAATATGCACAATATGAGAAGAGAACCATCAAATTGATAATCAAGATTTAATCTAATATTCCCTACCAACTTTTAAAGAAATGTCCAAAAATTTCAGAAAAAGATAAATTTTATGCCAGAAAACGGCATATGGGATTTTAGAGCTGGGACAGCTAGAGAATATCTGACCTAGCTCTGTGAACTTGACACATACCATTTGCTTTTGTAATCACCCTCACTACCACAGGCTTAAGGCTGATGTGCTGAGATTGTTTTCTACGTGGTTTATCATTAATATGTTTATGGTAGCCCTGAATTTATGTTTATGTTTCAACAGGGCATAGTGCCATGGATATTGCAAAGGCATATGCTGATGATAGAGTAATTAGTCTGATTAAAGAGAAGCTAGATAACCTGCCAAAGCCAGCAAAAAGTCAAAAACTGAAAGGCAAGCCACCTCTTAAACCGAAGACCGAACCCCTTGAAATTAAGAAAGAAGAGGTAAGGAAAGAGGTTGGTTACCCATTAGTAACTGGAACTCCTTAAAAACTTGTTGGGGTGGGGGGAGACAGCAGCACTATTTACATATCATTACACACATGGGCAAAACATGTGCAATGCATACTTTCAGCACCATTGCATAGTACTTTCAAAGAAATATTGAGCAAGAAAATTCGTGTTACTGGAGAGTCTAAAAAGTGCTCATTGCAAAAAGAATTCATACGAAAAAATGAAATGAGTTCAGCGAAATACCATTACATTGTTTAAAAAAGAACTGGCATTGGATATGTATATATTTGGTCCTGAATTATACAGATTGGATGAGATTGTCCAAACAGGGAAGAATGGTAAACTTGCAGGAAAGCATGATTTTCCTTCATTTTGGTCTCATAATCTTTCATTGCCCACCTTACCCCCTCGCCCTGGTCCCATCAAGGAATTTTAATGAATGCCACTGAGCTCTGGGACACAGAGCCACTTGTAACTTGGCTATCCTACAAAATGACTGCAGAAGGTTTTAAATGTGCCAAGTTGACTGTTCTTGGTAATATAGAGTGGTTTAGGAACTTCTAAACTACCAGCAGAAGGTTGAGGTTGTTGCCCATGGGAATTACTGAGGCATCAAGACGTTGCCATCAGCAGGGAAGCCCTAAATGCATTTCTAGGCTGGAAGCTTCTTTTGGGGAAGCAGAAGATTCACTGGAGATTCTTGGTAGACACAGGACAAGGGATAAAAGTCAAGAAGGAAAAGCTTTAATGCCATCAAATTGGAAAGGGTTGGGGACATGTAGGTGGTAATGTAGGAAGTGGATAGGATGAAAGGATTGTAGTCAGCAGCATTATATACACGGAGAATGTTGGTCAGGATGGCAAAAGGTGAAGGAGGATCAATCAGCTAAAGCTCCTACTGTATAAACCATTATCATTTTAATAGGATTCCATCCTTCTGATTAATGAATGGCCACAGGTCAAGGATGGATATCTTGAAGACCTGTGTGATCTGTCACTGATACTACTAAGAAAGTAGGGTTAAACAAGGCAAACTAATTATCTCTCTCCACCCAAAGTCATAATAATATTCTATTTTTATCTGAAATTATAGTTTGCATAGTACCATTTTTAGGTTTTTTTCCTCTGGCTTCAGAGTAAGATGTAGAACAGCAAATAATAATAGAAAGTGAATATAGGTTTTTACAATTTATGAGGTTTTTTTTTTTTTTTTTGGTTTTGTTTCCAGGAACAACTTTCAATTTATACTGTACCACCCATATCAGAAGGAAAGAAAATGCAGAAGGATAATGTGGTTTATCTCAATTCATTGATTACCAGTGGTTATACCAAGAAAGTGGATACCACATTTATTCCACGGAGGGTAAGTACTTTGGAAAGATCTTCATAGCATGATAGAAGCTCAGAATGTCACTTTTCAAATGCTTTGTATGCAGATCATCCAAACAAATGTCCAAAATTTACCTTTTATAGTGATTATTTGTGGGTGTCCTGTTTGCCAGGTTCTGCTCCTTTCAACTCAGTTAAGTCCAACTATTAGCTGTCAATATCTAGTTTTCTCTATGATTACTTCTATATTGATATTTACATCTTCCTCAAAAAATTGAAGTCTTCTTTAGTCAATGGCATGCCCTACAACCATTTAGTCACCCACCAAGTCCTATAGACATTTTTTTTTTTTTTTGGCACTTCTCAGACCCAATCCTTCTTCTTTGTACTCTCTACCTCCAT